GGGTCTTACTGCTGTTGGGCTGAGAGCCAACCCATTAAGTGAGTCTATTTCTAGGCTCGAAGGGTAACCCAGGGCTATGGTCTCAGGGGTTCCACCAGTCTCTATTCAACCGAGAGGCAAAACCTTTTAATTTTACCTCTCTGTTTCCTTGACTAAATGATAAAAAAAAGATAATCTAATCTTATTTTAATGGCACATCAACAATGCAAACACTCGTTCCTATTTTAACAGAGGCTTCTAAAGCAGTGAGAAATGGTAGATCCTGTATCAAATGTCCTCAAGCTCTCTGTTTTTTACATTTTGGTTTATCTTTCTCCCTGTTAGCACCTACTGTTTATGGTGACTATAAAACCCATTGCCTGTTGAGTAGATTCTGACTCATAGTGACACTATAGGACAGAATAGAACTGCCTGATAGGGTTTCCAAGGCTGTAAATCTTTACAGAAATAGATTGTCACATCTTTCTCCCAAGGAGTGGCTGGTAGGTTCAAACCACGGAACTTTTGATTAGCAGCCAAGAACTTTAACCACTGTGCTACCACATACAAAGTAAAATTTCGAAGATCTGCAGTAGTTCAAACTCACCAACCACTCTGCCAATGAAAAATGGGGCAATCTGCTGCAGTAATGATTTATAGCCCTGGAAACCCTGTGGGAGTCATCATGAGTAGGAATCAACTCAGTGGCAGTGAGTTTGGTTTTTGGCTTTGTAATGAACGAGCTGTCACAATGTAGTATATGAATGATTGCTAAGGGAATGATATAAACATTTGGAGTTCAGAGAATAGAAAAATCACAGTGGAATGGAATGGTGAGGGAAGGAATCAGGAAAGAAGTAAAATTGGAATAGAACTTTGAAAAACAAGTTGTGAAGAGGTGAGAAAAGACTCTAGGCAGAGAGAGAGCCTCAAGCAAAACCCCAGAAAGAAAAACATCCCAGGCATGTTCTGAGAAAAGAAGTCAACTCTGACTGGACTAGGAGGTTGAAAGGACAATGTGTCAAAACCAAGCAAAAATCAAAGTTCTTTTATAACACGGAATCTAAGTAATCAAGAACATTCCTACATCAATTAGCTGTTAAGAGTTGCTTGCCAATAGTGGCTAGAATAGGAGCGGCCAAGTCCTGTAGTCCAATTTGAAGCAGATTTTCAACACACGTATCTCTTTATTTTGACAAGAATAACAATAAATTATGTTCATGGACATTTCCTCTATACCAGATAGTGTGCTAAGCACTTTATAGTCATTCCAAAACTTAAACCAAACTGCTGTGAAGTCGATTCGACTCATAGGGACCACTTCTTGGGTTTCTGAGGCAGTATCTCTACGGAAGTAGATTGCCCAACCCTCCTTTCAAGGAGTGGCTGGTGGGTTTGAACTGCCAGCCTTCTGGTTAGTAGTCAAATGTCTTAGGCACTACACCACCATCATCACATTGAAATTAAACTCACACTGATACATGTAGGCCAACATTCACAGATGAAAGAGTTACAGGTTGAACAGCTCACTCAATGTCCCGTGATCAGTGAGTATATAAAAAAGCATTTAAATAGCTGTGCTCTCAGCCACTATCATATGACCTTTCTCAGGATCTTTTTTCTTTAGGTTTTTCTTCATAACTTTTCCTGTGGCAGGTCACCCCTCATATAGCTCAGATCTTCTGTAACCCTGAGTTATTTTGTGTTTGTAGTACTCTAGACACAAACATGATTGTTATTGGTACTATGGTTGCTTTTCATGCAAGTACAGTCTTGATCAACATTAACATGGTTTTCATCAGCTTCCATACTATCCTCAATATTCATAATTACTATCAGTCTCGTATACTGTTTTCTAGATGTCTCTATAATTAAAATCCTCTTTGTAGGATGTTTTAGGATTATATTTCCTAATTTTACCAGTAGCATACATCACATAAACCAAGGTTGAAAAACTATTTACTTGATGCAAAATGAAATCCATTTCAACTGATTATGAAATTTATTATTATATTGTTGTTGTTGTTATGTCCCGTCCAGTCATCTCCAACTCATAGCGACCCCTCCTTGGGTTTCCAAGGTGACATCTCTACAGAAGTAGATTGCCCAACCTTTCTTCTGAGGAATGGTTGGTGGGTTTGAACAGCCAGCCTTCTGGTTAGCAGTCAAGTGCCTTAGGCACTATGCCACCAGAGCTCCCCATTATTATATTAATGCACAGTATTTCACAAAAAGTAGGAGAGCAAAATAGAAAGGTGAATTGAAATGCTAATTTGACTGCCTGGTTGAAGAGTTTGAATTTTACCTTAAAGCTTTGTTGTTATTGTTATGTGCCATCGAGTTGGCCCCGACTCATAGTGACCCCTCCTTGGGTTTCCAAGGCAGTATCACTATGGAAGTAGGATTGCCCAACCTTCCTTCCGAGGAGTGGTTGGTGGGTTTGAACCGCCAGACTTTTGGTTAGCAGTCAAGTGCTTTAGCCACTATGCTACCATAGCAACTCTTTGTACAACAGAACGAAACACTGACCAGTCCTGTGACACCCACACAACCCTTGCTATTATTGTTCTTGTTGTTGGGTGCCATCGAGTCGGACCTGACTCATAGCGACCCCTCCTTGGGTTTCCGAGGCAGTATCACTACGGAAGTAGATTGCCCCATCTTAGCAGAGCCCATCGTTGCAGCTGTTGGCATTGGTTTTGGCGTTGGTATGCAGGATATTGGAGGGGAAAGAAGCTAAGAGGGTAAACATCTGAAAGATGATAATCCAGGATTGAATGTGAAGGACATTACATTAAAAATGGAAGGACAACAACACCTATGATGTATTGGATATTTGGGATAAGAGCAATTAAGAATATATGAATCCCACAAAAAAAAAAAAAAATCACTATTAGCATATCACAATCATGCTCAGCACAGTCCCTGGCTGGCTCAGTTAATGCTCCGAGCTGCTCAGTGAAAAGTTAGAGGTTTGAGTCTATCCACAGGTGCCTTGGAAAAGGCCTGGTGATCTATTTCCAAAAAGTAACCCACTGAAAATCCTAGGGAGTCCAGCTCTACTCCACCACACCTGGGGCTGCCAGAAGTCAGGACAGACTCAACGACAACAGGTGTTTTATTGTTATTGTTTTGTTTTTTTTAATCATGCTCATAAATAATCAAAGATACTCTACCTCCCATGCTAGCAGTCAATTGGGATTTAGCATCAATTTCCCCACAGAGGTAATGGTTTCCATAGGATTCTTCCTCTGGCTTCCTTGGAGCACATGGACCTTCCTATCTGTACTCTTCCTCCTACACACACACACACACACACACACACACACACTCCCACACATGGTATCCTTGTGGTCCCATGTTTCATGTAGCTTCTCCCACAAAAGGATAATCAACACACTTATGGAGCACACACTGTATATCAGCTGCTACATCTTCATCATCTCATCTAGTCTTCAAATAAACCTGTGGTAGTAAATGATTGTGTTTATATCACAGAGAAAGAAACTCGGGCTCCCTACAAATCCTTACTGTGGGGTAAAAAGTGTTTTCTTTTTTTAACCGTGGTAAAATATATATAAATAAAACTTGCCATTTTAACCATTAAAAAAAAAAAAGAAAGAAAGAAACGAAACTAGGGCTCAGAGAGTTTAAGGAACCTGATCAAGCACTACAACTGGCATAAAACAAGAGAAAGAGAGAGCAAAGGAGAAGCCAAAAGTTAGTAAAACTTTTCATTTCAATAACATTTTGTTGTTTACCAAGCATATTCACATTCTTTACTGATTTTCATTCTAAAGAAATAAATGGGAGATGAAGATTTTCAGAGGCAGCTTCTTGAGTAACATTATTTGAAGCTGTTAAGTCAACACTTGATTCTGGAGCTTTCTCCCAAAATACTATCTTCCTCAGTGTTCCCTGTAATTGGCAAGCTAGATCTGTTTCTCTAAAGAGTATACTGACTCATCCCTTCTTTTTTTTTTTTTTTTTTTTATTGACTCATCCCTTCTTAAGAAACTAATCTTGAAAAACCATAACTGAAATCACACCTTTGGGAAGACAAGGAGGGGCAGAGAAATAACAAAAGCAGAAAGTCTACATCCAAGACATTATTTTCTATTCACAGAGAAAATTTGTTGATACTAGCCTTTTAAATGATCCAAATATGACTTGCAAACCTGGCTTGACACTGTTCCTAGAAATGGGCCCATCTAAAGAGTGAACTGACAGTTATGCCCATTGATTTCACTGTTTCCCGGAGAACGTTCTGATTTATGCCCCTCCCCCATAAAAAACACGCACTGAAGGTTTACCTCCTTACGGGAAACTTTCATAGGGTCCAATTCAAAATTTCTCGACTATCCCTAATCTATTATCTCCAGATACGAAAATAAAAAATTCTGAGAAAAAAATCACAGCATGTTCTTTATCCAGCTAACATTTTCATCCTCTCAAACCCGAATAGTTATTTAAGTGTTTCCTCCTAGACTTGTGTGTTCAGGGGAGGAAAGGAAGTCACTATACCGCAATTAAAATGAGGGTGAAAATTTGAGAATGCTGGCACTGGGTCACTGGCTTTATCTGCGGATAAAATACTAAATAGTGACTTGTTTCCACCTATTTTATGTACATATCCCCTCCCTCCCGCTCACCAAAATGATTGTCTTCAGAACTCATGGCCATTGCTCTTTTTCTGTCTCCCCTGCAATTGAGTTTCCTGAATAAACATAGGGGCTGAGCTACAGTTAAAAATAATAAGACTCTACTGGGCAAATGTTCTTGCATGCAATAAAAAGGTATGGGTTAATTGCAGGAGCAGAGGGTTTTTTTTTTCCCTCCATTTTGCTTCACTTTGATTGGAGGATTGGCACTTTAAATAAAGGTTTCAGATCATCCCTGAATGAGAGGTACACAGCAAGTTCCAGGTACAGTCCAGAAAAATTGTAAACCCTCTTTTCTGACAGCAGTGAGTTTGTTTTTTTAATCTTAGTTGGCATCACCAGGCCCAGAGAGCACAGTGCATGTCAGCATTGAAGGTAAAATGTGGTTTTAATGATTTACATGTGCTTCCTGTATGTTCTTTTTTTCCTATCTCCAGGCAGCTTTTTTAAAAAAGGTTTTATCTTCATGTATTACCAAATGCTGAATAATAGTTTATTGTAAATCATTTGCATGTCCCTGAGCAGACATGCCTAATAACATTCAGCTAACTGAAGCAAAAAATATTTATCTTTAGACTTTTCTTCTTTTTACTATTAGTGATTATTAGTGACTGTGCCTAATCTAGAAAATTATTAGAAGAAAGTAAATCTCTAAGTCAGATCTCCATTAATGTAAGAGTAAAGAGTCTTCAAACTCATAGAATAAACTTAGTAAGCTAATTCATTTGGAAACGTAAGGAAAATCAATTTTGAGACAGGTTTTCCACTAGTATCAAAGGAAATTAAAATATTCAATTTATTCTTATTTTTAAAAGATAGATTTTGGCATAACTATCTGAGTAACCTAAATATATAATCATATACCCTATGTCTGCAGATAAAGGTTTGTTATGGAATGATTGTTGGTTGTATTACATAATGCACTTCAAAATTTACTCTGGAGGGAAAACAATGTATGAACCCCTATGAATGATACTCAATAAATTAATGTCTCATTTAATGGATGAGATTTTTAAACTTTTATTTTACTGATTAAAGTATATTTTAAAAATACCAACAAAACAATTCAAAGGTTAAATGAGAGGCTTAATAGGCAGTGAGTTTATCCTAATAATGGTGGAATAGTTTAGAAAAGGACAAAGAACAGTTGCACAACTTGAAGAACATAAACAGTGTCACTGAACTGTACGTGTAGAAATTGTTGACATGGCGTATGTTTTGTTGTGTATATTTTTATCAAAAAAAAAAAAAAAAGAGTGTATGCATGGAGGTTATTCCTATATATCCATTTAGGTGGTAGCTCCATAACCAAAGGGCTTAGCTGGTTTTTAATTCTTGTCAATTAAACTGCTTGTCAATTCCTTCCAAAAAGCTGATAAATTCAGCAGAGAAAATATCAAACCAGTTGTTTAGCAGTATTTAGACTTTTATTTTACTCTGGTTGTTTTCTGAAGAGCAGATACTCAGATTTATTTAAAATATTATCTTTTAATCATCTGATTTACTTCTCCAACCCAATTCTGTTTTAGATCCCACTTTTCAAAATGAAGGACCTGATACTGATCATGTGTCTCTTAGGAGTGAGTTTTGCGGTGCCGGTAAGTCAGTCTTCTATAGTGTGCCCTAGATTGCTGGGCACAAGACTACACTCGGGGAACATTGGCTGAGAGAGCTCAGACCTGGACTCATTTGAATTGAATTAATCCAGTGGCTAGTTCCTATTGATTCAAAAGTAATAATGTGATTCCTTGACACCTTTTTCCACAGATGCCCACACTTCAATCTTAGCATCAAAGAGCCACAAGTTAAACCTAAACATAATTGTTCTACTCAAAAAAAAATTTTTAAATAGCCCCAAAAAATTTCTCAGCCACATTCCACTCACTCAAATTTAAATATATATGGGAATCTCCACAATGCATGGCATAATTTTATTATCGTTTACTTGATATCAGGAAAAAAAAATTAGTATTTTTGAGCATGTAATTATCAACTACTTACTCAGTTACTATGAAATTGAACTGGAAAGAGAAAATTTCTCCAAAATAAGTACATTTTCTTCATTTTAAAAAGGACAATATTGGAACAAAAAGTTACTATTGTTCTAAAACTGAGCAAGCAACTAGATTTGATGCTAGTAATTAACCAAAAATGGGCTCAAACATTGCCGTGAGTGGAGGATGATACAGGACTGGGTGGCATTTCTTTCTGCTGTACGTAGGGTCGCTATTGAGTAGGAAAGAACTGGACAGCCCCTAACAACAACCAGGATTAACCAACAAATTTACATTGTAAAGGTTAGAATGTGTGACTGAGAACTGAAATTTCCTAAATCAAAACATGTCATGGCATTGGGCTAATTGTATGTTACAGTTCTACACCTGATCTACTCTATCACATATTGGAATTATCTCATATAGAAATGTAGACAATATTTTTAGTCCTGAACTACTACAACCAATAGCATGTGATTCTGCTATCACGATGACCTTATTCAACTGCTATATGTATTCAGCAAATATTTACTGAGCCAGCAATGTGTTAGGTACTAGAGACAAAGGTAAATAAGACATGCTCTTAGTCTTCAGGAGCTCATAGTCTACCTCAAATGAACTCTAGAATATTTTAATTCCTTGAGAGAAAAGGCTGCTATCTCAGCTTACCTTTGTATGATACTGACACTTGCAGTCGGCCTCAGCCATCCACCACTATCAGTCAAATGTCTTTATGTTCTTTGAGTCTCTACTAGCCCACACCTGAATCACTTGAGGCTATTCTGATGAACAGGTCAAGTGCTTATTATTGTCAACTGTTTAGCCACCAAATCACCTGTTCTTCACCTTTTACTTCTGCATAAGATATGTATCTCCCATTGTTCTGGTTACCTAGTGCTGCTCTAACAAGAATATACCACAAATGGGATGGCCTTAACAAACAGGCGTTTATTCTCTTACAGTTTGAAGGCTAGAAGTCTGAGTTCAAAGTGCCAGGCTCTAGTGGCTGTGTGAAAGCCTCTCAACCTTGGGCGTTGGCTCTGCCTCTAGCTCCTAGCTCACTGAAGGTAGAGGCTTTTCTTCACTCAGGCAGCTACTGGCTGCTGAGGCTAACAAGCCCAGGGTTGACAAATAAAATGGCACAGTCCTGATGTTACCAAACCACACAGCAGACCATTAATTCAAGTCCACTGTAAATCCTAAGGTCGGCAGAGCATGGCAGGCTGCCGAACAACAGTGCGGCTACATGCAGGGTCCAAACATGCCATAGGCTAGAAATTATTCCCAAAGCTGCTGCTTATATACAGGAAGCAGACCACATACCCAAAGCAGCTACTCAGCTGCTTGTGGTAGATCCCACCATGGAGTTGATTGCCAGCCTCATCATAGAGAATAACTACCACCAGCTGCCCAGCCACTCAACCGGCCCAGCCAAGTTGACACACAAACATAACTACGACATCCATTTACACACCAAACCAAAACCAAACTCACTGAATTCAGAATCAAAGCAACCCCCATTGGATTTCTAAGCCTGTAAATCTTTATAGAAGCAGACCACCCCATTTTTCTTCTGTAGAGTGGCTGCTGGGTTCGAACCACTGATCTTTTGGTTAGCAGCTAAATGCCTTAACCACTACACCACCGGAGCTCCTTCCAATTTACGTATTGTTCTTTAATTTGTGACTTGGAGCAGATAGAAAGAAAGGGCTAATGTGGGGGAAGAGGACTCTGTTCTCAAATCTCTTCAAATCCTGAATATGACCACTACACACACACAATCACTTTCCCTGTCTATACAGCTAACATTTTCTCTATTCTGTTCATAACTACTTCCTCTATATCTATTTCCAAAACTGAATAATTTAGAGACATGTGCACCATGACTTAAATGGTAGGATTTTACTTGTGTGAAAACATGAGGAAGGAAACATGTTTAGGAGAATACTCCTGAATTTTTAATTTATAATAGAAAAATAATCCCGATACATTTAGTGATCACTCCAAAACTATCTGTGGTACAAACGAAGGAAGGAAGACATTACAACCTCTTAACCCTACATACTGAGAATATCCAAACAACCAGAGAGCCCCCAAGTCTAGAAATTATTCTAATTTCTATTCATCCATCCTCTATTTTTCACTGGTTTTGTGCATATATTAATAATGCTTGGTTTAAGAAGAAAAAGAACTTGAATTCTAAAAAATCTAGTTTAAAATATAGCTATTGTTTTGAACAATTTTTAAATGAACACAGTAAAATTAATAGTACTTGATGCTATAATTTTTTTTTTAAGGAAAAAACAACCTTTGATCTGATGATCCAAAAATGTAAACACAGATCAACATTTTATACATAATAATCTTTCACTAAAATGGCAGAAGATTTGTTGAAGCTCTTTGGGAAGTAAGTTAGGGTTCTGCACACAATTTTGCTGGTTACCAAGATCCATGCCACATTCTGTAAGCCAGAAACATGGAGGTTTGTCAAAACCATGTGAAATTCAGCTCAGGTTTGTCCCTTTGCTTTCACATGTAATTTTTTTTAAGAATGTGAATCACTTTTAGCCTTCTTTTAAATTATGCTGCTTTACTTCTCATTTATTTTTAATGTAACTTTTAAACAAAGTTTGCTTTTAAAGCAACAAAGCATTAAGATGCAGACAGAGTAGGTGATTCGTATGGGAGTGAAATTATTAAATATTACATTAATCCCCTGTTGCTGTTGTTATGTGCTGTCGAGTCGGCCCCGACTCATAGCAACCCGTCCTTGGGTTTCCGAGGCAGTATCACTATGAAAGTAGATTGCCCAACCTTCCTTCCGAGGAGTGGCTGGTGGGTTTGACCCACCAGCCTTCAGGTTAGTAGTCAAGTGCCTTAGGCACTATGCTACCAGAGCTCCCATTAATTCCCTAGGTAATTCAAATTGTGCTTCATTCTGCCCAGAAGCTCAAATCAATTGGATGTATACCAAAACGGTGTTCTCTCATCTGGCCCTTAAATATTACTCATTTAAGGAAATTTCTCACCTAGGAGAACTCAAGATGATCCTTATTTTCATTTAGATGTTTCCTCAGCAACCTGGGACCCCTGGCATGGCTAGTTTGAGCCTTGAGGTACGTCAAAGTATTTGTTTTTAATCTTGACATTGATATGTTCCTTATAAGGGAGAAACATGATGGGCTGTTTCTCAGCTCTCCTAGTCAGAAGTCTGCAACTGTCATCCTGCGCAGCTTTAGAGAAGCTTATAGCATTTATTAGAGCCTCATCTTGTAATTCTACTGCCATTATAAACTCAAGTGCTTTAATCTTTAAAATGGCATCTGTATGTGAATCCAGGTAATACTAATAATTAATACCTGTTGTTGTTGTTATTATGTGCCGTCGAGTCGGACCGATTCATAGCGACCCCTCCTTGGGTTTCTGAGGCAGTATCACTCAGAAGTAGATTGCCCCATCTTCCTTCTGAGGAGTGGCTGGTTGGTTTGAACCACCAGCTTTCTGGTTAGCAGTCAAGTGCCTTAGGTACTATGCTACCAGAGCTCCTAATTAATACCATGTTGTTGTTGTTGTTATGTGCCCTCGAGTCAGCCCTGCCTCATAGCGACCCCTCCTTGGGTTTCCGAGGCAGTATCACTACGGAAGTAGGATTGCCCAACCTTCCTTCCGAGGAGTGGCTGGTGGGTTTGAACTGCCAGCCTTCTGGTTAGCAGTCAAGTGCCTTAGCCACTATGCTACCAGAGCTCCCAATTAATACCTAGTATACATTAATATGTATTATATGTCAATATAATTGCTACCATAATATCGTTACCACATTAATCAAATACATTTTTTCTGTTATCACAAATAGTTTATATTACTTCTCTTTATAATATTATATCTAATATAGTTCCCAGGAAAAAAAATTTACCTGTATAAAATTATTGTATAGAAGAATTCCTATAAAGAGCTTTAACATTATACTATGATAGCTGCCATATAGCTTGGGTTTGTCTTATTGTAGATCTCATAACTGATATACATTCTGTTTAGAAAACCCAAGAAAGTGGAAGTTTTTGACAGATATAAATAGAAAATATTTATAGTTATGAATATAAAAATAGTTCTAAGATTACAAATTTTTCACAAGACCTTGCAACATTTCCCTGCACCCTGACAGTTGGAGCACAGTCAAAAATGAAACTGGTTAAATACTTATTTCACGTGGAAACTCATTTCACCGGGGCTTTTCTCTCACTCTGTAGCTTAAACTCAATCCAAAACACTCTAAATCTCTTTCTTTGAAAAATGAAATTGACTTTCTGTTGAATTGGTGGCTTTCTTGACAACCTATCTATACTTTGCTATTTTTTCCCAATGTTTTTTATATTCACTAGGTTGAGGACTGTTTTATTTGAGAAGGAGGTAGAAGTTATTTTATTTCTCTGTTTTTTGTTTTTTTTTTTTCAAATTTCTTTTTGGGCTGAATTTATAAAAGGCCAAGTAAGTAATGCAGGAAGGGAAAAGACTCAATGAAGCAGTGTTCTCATAATCACAGTTATATTTCAGTTGAATGAACGATTTTCTTATGCTTCAGTGTGAACCATACTAATATGGTACTTTTTGTTTCATTTAATGATAAAAAAAAAAAAAACTCATTATTTTAATAGTAATAATAACAACAATGGCAGACCTGTTGTTACCCATACAATATTTAACATTTCCACTTTTCAGTAATGATTTCTATCTGCTTTTATGTTATTCAAATTGACCCATTCCAAAGTTTGTGTGATAATGTCATATGCTGAGAAATCAGTTAAGAGTTACACAGAAAAGAAAAACACATGGCAAACACTAACCCAATTTTTTCCTTGATAGACAATGAGACAGTTGGGAAGATTACAGGGATTAAACATGCTTCCTCAGGTAACCATTATTTTCAAATATTTCTTATTCCAAATATTCATAGTGGTGGTGGTAGTGATATTAGCAACAGCACTATAATTCATAAAATTTGTTTGTTAACACACAATATCCTAAATACTGAAAGAAAAAATGAGTAATTGAGATAGCCTACAACAAAATGAGATTCTGGAACAAGGTGGCAGGGAAAAAATAAAACAATATTAAACTTTCTTCAGTAAAATAAAAAATCCTTTCGTGGATTATCAGTTTTATTATATGGCCCAAAATATGAGTACTTAGAAAAGTAAATCTCAAACAAGATTTTGGATATATCGCGATCAGGATCAGAATAGAACACAAGACTCTTAAAAGAGAGCATTTAACTTTGTGTGTAAAATTAACCAGTAACACTCTTAATTTTCCTATCTCTAAACTTTCTCTGGATTTTAAGAAAATAGACACCACATTTAAGCCAATATTAAAACATAAGCATGATTTTATTTTTCCATGTCTTTAGTATTCTAGATTTGACTTTGGGAAATCTTTTAATTCTCTGTGGATGCATGGTCTCCTCCCACTACATTCCTCTTTCCTATGGATATGACCAAGAGAACATGATGCTCAACAGGTATATTTGCATCAATGTGTTTGAAACTTCAGACTTTCAAATCTCACCCTATTTGCCCTCTCTGTATTGGTGGCTCAGCGGTAGAATTCCCACTTTCCATCCTGTAAAGATAGATATTATCATCTTTTTTATAAAGGATAAAACTGAGACACAGAAAGGTTACAAAATATGCTCCAGGTTGCACAAAAATTTAGGGGCAAAGCCAGGATACAAGTCTAGTATGTTCCAATTCCAAAATTCATGTCTTTCCATTCTACAATGACAGGCATGCCCCCGTCTCCCTGAGTCATATTGGTAAATAATTGAATTGTACACTTAAATTCTAAATCTAGGGTCATACCCCAGAAACACTAAAAGAAAGCAAAATGGGGAAACTTATTCTAGATTTTATTATAATCATAAACCAAGGTTAAAGTACGTTTGGTTCACTTTGTCTATTTTGACTATTTGGTAGTTTTAATATTTGTGATATAGTTACCAGGAATGGATTTTGCTGGTCCACAAGGTCCCTCAGTAAGTACAGATCTCCAACACTTTCTTGAAAAAAGATCTCTATACTTCAAAAAAATAATAAAAATTTAAACTTCTTCCATTTTCTAAGTGTAATGGAGTTCTTTTATTTTAAAATATTAAATACTTATTTTTCATACTAATCCATCTGAAAATATCTTTTCTATAACTCTCAGAAGTTAGTGTAATGGAGATTTGCATGTGTTATGGCAAGTATTAATTACTTGAAGATGTTCCCAATACCCCATTTGATATCTCAAGGGCCAATGCCACAAAATAAACAATCTCCAGTAAGTTTTTTCACATCACTTCTGTGCTTGTAATTTACTTAAAAATTTTTCCCCTGGAAAATGCATTGTGTGATGGTTATTGTCTTTATATTTAGCTTTATCCGGGAATGTTTTACATGTCCTCTGGAGCAAATCAATTGGTAAGTGCATAGTTGATTTAAAGTGCCATTTTTAGTTAAATGTTTTCTTAAGAGCTAAAATTATAAAATCCAGGCCTCACACTGTATACCACAAATAAATAGATTCGGAATATCTGAATTAACAACTGAAATGGCACACAGTACAATTTCTATTTGAATAACTCTGACCAGACAAAAACGTACACACAATGGTATTAAAGAAAATATTTGATATGAATTATACAAATTGGCTGTATTTATTCAATAATCATTCAATCTCTCTACTCTGCCTCTAAAACATGCATTAATATTAAGATTTAAGGGAAAACTAAATGCCTTTTAACTTTGTCTTGAGTAGCTAAAAAAGTAATAGGCAGCTGGTTTAAATATGATGCAATGTTTCTTTTTTAACAGAATGCCCCTGCCAGAGTTGGCATCACGAGCTCAGAAGAAATGGCAGTGAGTAACGTCTTCAAAGTCATCTTTTTAAAATAGTGGCCAGCATAGAATAGTCACAGATCAGTGGCTGCAAGAGATACTGGCCGTGAATGTAGCCAAATATGGAGCATGAACCTTGGATTTTTCCTCCAAAACCAAAAGTTTGATTGTAAAGCAGCATTCAAACATTTCATCATGTCTTCTGTATAATGATTTCTGAGTGATCACCATTCTTGAACGTTGAATTTGAGAAGAATCCCACAGAACCTCACAACTTAGACTTTGGATATTAGATATAAGAAAATAGTCCTGATATTTTTTTTCTTGAAAGATAGAACCTCTCATAAGCAGGTTTCAGCCTATCAGATTAAGAACAGTAATGCCCGTTGCTGTATAACACATTGTCCTCCATTATGTTATGCTGCCTAGAAGTAAAATTGTTTTTGCCGCATCTCATATATGATCACAGAAGAAACGGCTCCTGATCAGCCATCATTACTAAACTGTAAATGCTTCAAACCTAAAAAGACAGGTGTGTTTCACACAGAATTCGCATTCCTTCTCAGACCACGTAACCCCTTCAAAACAACAAATTCAATAGTGTTGCAAGCAATTCAGACGAAATTTAGAAGTTAGCGCATTTAAAGTAACCAAGTTTCAATTTTGAGTATTGCAGCATTCAGGATGCCTGGAATCTTGGCTCTGTCCTTCTTCACCATTGCTCCCCTTCCCTCCATGCCAACCAGACATGGTGAAGGGCCTCCATCTCCTTTCCCAGAAGTAGGCTTCCACACCCAGAAAAGTGTAGAATCCTCTCCATTAAATTTCAAAGCCAATTTAAGGGAAAATGTGCTAACGTGAAGCTGTCAGCCGGTTCTTTGTTCTTTACCAGGTTCTGTGGTTCCTCGGTGAAAGTGACCACATAAAATTGCATCGTGTAGTTATAATATGTGATAATGGTATCTTTGGTGAATGGCTTTTTTCTAGGGACGCAGAGGAGGCCCAATGGCCTATGGAGCTATGTTCCCAGGATTCGGAAGCATAAGGCCTGGCTTTGGAGGAATGCCACCCAATCAAGCCATGGGCAGTGACTTTACCCTGGAATTCGACTCCCCAGTCACTACAACCAAAGGCCCTGAGAAGGGAGAAGGAGGTGCACAAGGCTCCCCTATGCCAGAAACCAACTCTGCCAATCCAGAAAACCCAGCTTCCCTTCCAGAGGTACTACCTGATGCCCACGAAGGGCTTCTTGCTTTCCCTAAGGGGCACATTCCCAGCCTGGCCAGGGGCCCTGCAGGGCAGACAGGGTCCCTCCAGCAGCTGCTGACCCACTAGTGACCCCTGGATCAGCTGATGCTTATAAGGCCTACAGCGCTGACATGACCACAACCATGGATCTCCAGGGAGAAGCCACCATGGATACCACAGCAACCGCAGACATTCAACAAACATCGATGCCAGGAAACAAGGCCCAGCGGCTCCAGATTGTACACAATGCTTGGCATTTCCAAGAACCCTGAATGCCTTGAGATATTAGCTAAATCCTGTCTGCCCAAGCTTCTCACTTTTGTCCCCATATTGTATCTTTTTGCTAAAATACTTATTAACATTCTGTGGCAAAGGTATTAACAGCACCAAGTATATCTTAGTAAATAAAGGTGCATAGCAATAGTATAGATCCTCTTCTTGCTTTTATTCTCTTACCAAAATTAATGTATGGGTAGTCTCCATGATTTAAAGATACTATTAATAACATCAGAGCAAATCAAAGGGTCTCTGAATTTGATAATCACTCTTGTTTAGCTGCCTTAGGCATTATAGAATTTCTCTTATGAGCATGAAATTCCAGGAAATGTGACAGTGCTTTGAAAAGTTTTCTCTAAGCAAAGGCACATATTCTCAGAATTATGAAGTGTTTCATTCAAACTCTATTAAATGGGACATGGTAGAGAACCCTTGACTGGTATTACTGGGTTTAATACATTGGATTTAAAAGCCTCATTTGCAGAGCATTTTATTTAAGCTAGTAAGAATCATTTTAAATAAAGATTTTTCTCACTGAAAAATCAAGAGTTGTGTGCTTATTATTTATAGATATTTAAATACTTTAGAAAATCTTACTCATCCTCATCTTTGCTACTTTTTTACTCATTTTACTCCATTCGTTTGTTCTTTCATCAAAAGTTCATTGAGTGTCTGTCGATATCCTAGGTACTGTGCTAGGCACTGGGATTAGAGTCCCTTTCCTGAAAGAGTTTAGAATGGGGATGATTGACAAGTATACAATAACAGCCATTCTAGGCCAGGCTCAAGCACTTTATGAGTATTATCTCACAAAAACATTGCAAAATAATTACCCCTAAGGCCACAGCATGTGTAAAAAGTACCATGAAAGGCCAAGTACAAGGTGCCCCTGAAACCACAGAGAAGATGCTTCTAACAACCTAAGGGGCCTTGCAGGAGCTGGAAGGAATCAGTCAAGCTTTCTTAGAATATTGAAAGCATCTGAAAAAAAAAAAAAAAAAAAGCATCTGCAGGATGAAGCCTCCAAGAAGAAGAAACACAGGAAAAGTCACGTGGGTGCCATGTGAGAATTAGCTCAATCCTGGGAAATCACAAAGTGAGAAAAGGGGATCCTTGCTAGTCACCAAGACTAGGTATGTATCAGCCAGGGCTGTATGTCTAAGTTAACAGGTTGCAAGATCTGGTCACCCGTGAAAAGTAGTCTCCAACTCTATTGTCTCTCTCTCCTTCTAACTTGCCCAGGCTGGTTCTTCCATATTTTTTCCAAGTCCCTAACCAATCTGATACCGACCCTAAGTTAGTATAGATCTATATCTCAGGCCATCTCTCCTTCCACAAAAAGTAGACAACCAGATGTACCATTTAAAGTTCTGCCCACTGAGTAGCATTGTGGTGTACTCACTGTCCAGTGAATTTGGACTCCCCTACCTATCTCCAACAATTAGAAAAAGAACAGCAAGAAAAGCCTACAGTCACCAGAAGAAAGGAAATAATCAAGATTCGAGCAGAAATCAATGAAATAGAAAAGAGATATTTCAACAAACAGATGCCCCATTGGAGGCGCTCACTCAGTTATGCCAAGAGATTTGGAGGACAGCTACCTGGCCAACTGACTGGAAGAGATCCATATTTGTGCCCATTCCAAAGAAAGGTGATCCCACAGAATGTAGAAATTATAGAACAATATCACTAATATCACATGCAAGTAAGATATTACTGAAGATAATTCAGAAACGTTTGCAGCAGTATATTGACAGAGAACTTCCAGAGGTTCAAGCTGGATTCAGAAGAGGACGTGGAACAAGGGATATCATAGCTGTTGTCAGATGGATCTTGGCTCAAGGCAAAGAATACCAGAAAGAGGTTTACTTGTGTTTTATTGACTATGCAAAGGCATTTGATTGTGTGGATCATGACAAATTATGGATAACATTGAGAAGAATGGGAATCCCTGAGCACTTGATTGTACTCATGAGGAATCTGTACCTTGACCAGGAGGCTGTCGTTCGAACAGAACAAGGGGACACTACATGGTTTAAAATCAAGAAGGGAGTGCGTCAGAGTTGTATTCTTTCTCCACACTTATTCAATCTATATGCTGAGCAAATAATCCGAGAAGCTGGACTATATGAAGAAAAACGTGGTATCAGGATTGGAGGAAGAATCATTAACAACCTGAGATATGCAGACGATACAACTTTGCTTGCTGAAAGTGAGGATGACTTAAGGCACCTACTGATGAAGGTTGAAGAATACAGTCTGCAGTATGGATTACATCTCAACATAAAGAAAACAAAAATCCTCACAACTGGACCAATGAGCAGCATCACAATCAATGGAGAGAAGATTGAGGTTGTCAAGGAATTCACATTGCTTGGTTCTACAATCGATGCCAACGGAAGCAGCAGTCAGGACATTAGACGTCGTGTAGCATTGGGAAAGTCAACTGCGAAGGAACTGTTTCAAGTGCTGAGGAGCAAGGATATCTCCTTGAGGACTAAGGTGCGCCTGACACAAGCCATGATATTTCCAATCACCTTGTATGCATGTGAGAGCTGGACAATGAATAGGGAAGACCGAAGAAGAGTTGATGCTTTTGAGTTGTGGTGCTGGCGAAGAATGCTGAAAGTACCATGGACTGCTAAAAGAACTAACAGATCTGTCCTGGAGGAAGTGCAGCCAGAATGCTCCTTGGAAGCAAGAATGGCCAGACTTCGTCTCACCTATTTTGGTCATGTTGTAAGAAGGGACCATTCCCTGGAGAAGGATGTCATGCTTGGTAGGGTGGAGGGTCGACGAAAGAGGGGGAGGCCTTCAACGAGATGGATTGATACAGTGGCTGCGATGATGGGCTCGAGTATAGCAGGGATTGTGGGGCTGGTGCGGGATCGGGCAGTGTTTCGTTCTGCTGTGCATGGGGTCGCTATGAGTCGGAAACGACTCGACGGCACTTAACAACAACAACAACAACCTATCTAAATGGAACTTCTGGAGAAGCAGCCCCCCCCCCAAAAAAAAATAGCCCTGACCTTCTACTCCACCCAGGATATGTCAACAAGAACAAGTACCAGCCACCTATTTGCTCCCTCTCTTCAGGCCGGCTTCCATTCACTCCTACCCCATTGATTAGCACTTAAGGAGACATGCAGGAGATAAAAATTCATTTTACCACCCCTTGCAGTTCTGGCAAAAGGAAAAGGTTGAAAGAATGCCCCCAAAATATCCAACTTATACTCAGTGAGACCTACTTTTGCACCGCACATGGTCTCCTAAAAAGTGGTGTGGTAAAAGACACAGAGAGACCAGGGTTCAAACCTTGACATCACACCTTACTGTCTATGAGAACCTGGATGTGAGACTTAATTCTCTGAGTCTGTGTTTTCTTTCCGTAATGGGGTTAAAACCTACCTCACAAGGACCAGAATTATTGGTCAGAGAGGAGCTGGTGGAACCCCCAGATTATAGCCCCGGCTTATCCTTCTGGCAGGGAACTGGATGCATTTCTTTCTACAGCCAAACAGTTTAAAGACCTATGGGCAGAACACCTACCCTAAGGAGATGCACCCTCTAGATCACTCAACCATGAGACATCAGAAGGGCAGCATTTGCGTAAAGGGAAAGCTGGACAGACAGGAAAGCATCAATAAAAAGGGCACAGGGAAGGGGTAGTCACAAAGAGGAGATGGGAGGAGAACTTTTTATGTTGGGGATTGTAATCACCGTGAGGCCAGATGTGCATGAACTGTTGTGTGTAAAACAAATCTGCTTTGTGAATGAATTTGCACCCATACCATAATAAAAATTAAAAAAAAAAAAAAACCTACCTCTCGTTTGTGAGAACCAAATGAGATAAAGTTCACAGATGATATTGCTAAGTCATAACAGCTTCCTTTTGAAGATAATTAAAAAATGGTTGTAGCAGTATATTGACAGGGAACTTCCAGAAATGCAAGCTGAATGCAGAAGAGGACACAGAACAAGGGATATCATTGCTGATGTCAGAGGGACCTTGGCTGAAAGTAAAGAACACCAGAAAGATGTTTACTTGTGTTTCATGGCCTATGCAAAACCACTTGACTGTGTGGATCACAACAAATTATGGATAACATTGAGAAGAATGTGAATTCCAGAACACTTAATTGTGCTCATGAGGAACCTATACATAGACTAAGAGTCTGTCTTTTGAATAGAACAAGGGGATATTGTATGGTTTAAAATCAGGAAAGGAGTGGTTCCGGGTTGTATCCTTTCACCATACTTATTCAGTCTGTATGCTGAGTAAATAATCTGAGAAGCAGGACTATATGAAGAAGAGTGTGGCATTAGGTTTGGAAGAAGACTCATTAACAACCTGTGATATATAGATAACACAATTTTGCTAGCTGAAAGTGAAGATGATTTGAAGCACTCACTCATGAAGTTTAAAGACTACAGTCTGCAGTATGAATTACACCTCAACATAAAGAAAATAACACCCCTCACAACTGGAGCAATAAACATCACAATAAATGGAAAAAAGGTTAAAGTTTTCAAAGATTTCACATTACTTGGTTCCACAATCAACACTAATGGAACCAGCAGTCAAGAAAGCAGATGACAGAGTATGGCAGGAATTTTAGGGGCTTTTGCTGCCTTCACAACACATCCCTTTCCCTTATTCCTGTTCCTAACCAAAACATTTCCTGCAACCCTCTCCCAAATCCTGAGTGCTCGGGCTCCAAGTTTGCTTGGCTATTTAGAAAAAGCACATAATGTATAAAGTGTGATTTCTGTCCTGAGTTGCCAGAGGCAGAGACTCCTGGGTCTCTGCCACATCTTCCCTCAAGAAACAGTCCAGGGGACACCTGGAAGATGGCGGACTAGGCTGAAGGATTGCACAGACCCTCTTCAACAAAGAAAAGGAAAACCAATTAACACAGACACAGCAGATAATCCTGGACCCCTGAGCCTTGAAGGGAAGGATATAGAAGTGGACTAAACCCCAACTAGCGGAAGA